TTTGAGGTGAATTTTTTTGACCACAGCAACGATCTGAAGCGATAACATGTAAGGTAGTTATTCTTTCATGTTTTTTCACGCTCAGAGATGTTGGTGGGTGTGTGTGGGTCATTCACTGACACAATGGTTGCCGTATTATCCATGTATCAGGCAAGTTAGCCCCCTACGTTAAAGTTTGTAGCTCGAACAGCTCAAGCGGTAAGGTCGGTAAAACTAAGCTATAGCGATAATCCAATTTAGCTGTTGGATCGCACTGTCGTTGGTGTGTCAATCGAGTGGCCACTACGTCGTGAAAGTGCGGTCTCTTTTATCAAATTTGTTCCATTTTATTGATGTTGTGCAGAAGCCTTAGGCTAGCTAAACCCGAAGCTATCTAACATTTATCTGTTTTATGTGATTTGTGCTTGGTTGTTCCTGTGTCTTGCTTGTGCATGCGTGTGGCATTTATGGTATATTCAGCTACCATATTGATCAAGTATTGGTTTCGTCCTTGGGTCATTCAAAACCTGTCTCTTCCCTTTGTATGTTTTTGCTTTAGGTATATCAGTTGAAATGTTCTTACAGATGCTGGGATTGATAGAGGGCAGTTTTTATGGATTTTGACTAGAATCTGGAATATACACACACACAGCACACCACACAAACCAAATGGCACCACAACACACAACCACCACACACACAAGCAGACACACACACAATGTACACACACAAAATGGATATTTGAGGCAGTTCTGATTGCTGGTTTGGTGTTACATCTTTGTAATGTTGGTATTCTTTTTCCAATTTTCAAAATGTTTTCTCCAAAAGTTTTTTCAAACAATTTTTTTAAAAACCAATGTTTTTGAAAAATGTGAAAAACTAATGAAAGTATGGTTCATGAGTGTGGTAAGTCATTCTTTTGTGGAGCAAATAATATAATAGCAAAGTACTTGAATGACAAATGATTGATTTCTAACCTTAAAAATGAGCAAAAATGGCACTAAAAATCACCCAGTTTGATTTTTCTACAGTACGCGTCAATTTTTTAGACCCACTTATGGAAGAGTGTAGGGTCCAGTCACTCGTGCATCTAAGGGTTAAGCAAGTTACTTACTATTTTCTTGGAGTCTGACAGGGATCTCTCCAAGTACCTCCTCATCCTTTCCTTCTGTTTCTCTTTCTGCTCTCTCAGCTTTTCTTCACGCTGCCTGCGACACGACGTAGGAAAAGAGAGTAGATTTCTAAATATATAGTATATCATGAATAACACTGCCATTTGACATTACCTCCAGAAATATGCTTGAATGTGTTGCTTGCTGAAAGTAAGTGAAGTAGAAGTTACTAAGACTTACCTGCTCCTCTTCTCACTGTCCTTGATCTTCTTCATCATCTCTAACCTCTCTTCAGGGATGCTCTCAAGGCTCTGCAGCAGTAAAGACATATGGTTCTCAATATCGGACAGCTTCTCCAAGGTGCTGAGGTTGGTCATCCTGTCATCCACGCAGCAGCGATGGACGTCTGCCACCTTCTCGCTCAGAGTGTCCAGCATGACATCCTGTAAGCAAGAGGCGGAAAAAATGAAGAGGAGAAGAGTTGACGAGACCAGACGTCTGCTGCTCAAATTTAAGCTTAGCGCACATTCAGGCAGAAATACTTATTCATTCACAATTCTCCCTCTCACTCTTCTCACTCAGACTCTGTCACTATCTCCTTCAGCCAATCATGTCGTTGCTGTTGCCGTATTTTCAGTGCGAAATTGTTGGGACCCTCCTCTACCCCATTCACCTCCAGTTCATCATATCAAGCGCCTGGATTGAGCTCATCAGAAGTCCACTCCTCTTCAAATCCAGATCTTCAGCATTCTCTTCATCCCTTCATCACCACAGCCACCAACATCAGTGTCTAGACTTCATCAGGGGGGCATTCCTATACTAACCACGGCTTCTCCAACCACCTTCAAATTCACATTTCTCATCTTTATTGTGCACGTCTATATTAAATATAATCACTCTCTCCTGATTGAAATGCTACCTTACATGACCACTGGGTGCTGTATCTTGGATGTCATTCTGCTTCCTTACCTGGTCTTCAGTGTTCAATGAGACGTGGAGCTGAACCTTCTGCTTCAGCTTGGCGCCTCTTGCTTTCTCTTTGCTGATTCTTTGGTTCATGTCGTTTATCTGCAGTGTTAGCTGCTCTTCGTCCTTTTCACTTCAGACAGAAAGGATTCAGCATTCAGAAGAGGACGGGGATATGGAGTAAATAGTGTACAGAGAGAGAGAATGAATGCACAAAGTTTAAATAATAAAAGTGAGGCAGGTTTTTATTCCTGTGACCATATAGTCAGACTGAAGTAACGGTAAAAGAAAGACATTAAAGCTAAGGAAGAAAAGCAAATAGAAGGAATATATTCAAAGTGAGGTACCTGAAGAGTTCAGGAGAGTCTGCTCATTTCAAAGCAAGACAACAGACTAAAATACACTGACAGAGCTTTGACCCTTGACCCATGTATACTTACATCTTCTTCCTGGTTGTCTCCATGGTCTGTCGGAGGTCTTCCAGTGTCTCTTCCACCCTTGTGGAGTTCTGAATCAGGGACAAGTTCTGCTCAGTCAGCTCTGTCACCAGATCCAATAGCTGCTGGGGATTGGTGAAGTACAGCTCTGGCTCATCCTGCAGAGGTGACACACAAGGTGGGCGAGATAGGCGCACTGTGAGTACTGCAAAAGAAAAATACTCAAGATGAAAAGAGATAAGTTAAATCGTAGAAGTAGATTTTCAGTTCGGGGAAACTGACCTCAAATTCTGAGTTATCACCATCCAGTTTAGAATTTGTGATCCTGAAAGGCCAAAAAAAGAGTTTGGAGTCAGGAGAAAGCAGCATGTAAACGAAAGATGACGATATATACATACTGGATATCGACGAGAAAGATTATGTACAAGGACATAGTTTTTGCATTGTACTAAAAACTTAATGAAAGTCATGAATTATCCACCTTTTCTACCACCAGATAAATACTTGATTGGAGTGTGCGTGTTGGTGTTTCCTTACTGTGTGTCGCTTTGGGCTGAGGACGTCTCTCTGATAGAAGGCAGCTCTCTACCTGGACTGGAAACCTTATTCTCCAAACCTGTGCACGTGATCATTCAAATCATCATACAAACGATAATATCTGGACACCGGGGTCATATGTATGTGCCTTTTTCTCTCTTGATATAATTACACAAATGTTATCTGTTGTTTATTTTTGACTGGGAGGACTGGGAGAGGGGGGAGGGACAAAAGGAACTGTGGGAGAGGTGGGTGTCATTTCTTTTGGCCCATTTATTATCCTAATCCATCCCATTATCTCAGATCTTGTTGTTTGTATTATTGTTTCTTACAGTGTTATAATGTCTTTCTTCATCTATCAATTAAACAAATTGTTGCTTAAAAATGGTTGTTTTAAGAGTGAGTGCTGTTAGCGTAAAGTTGCGGCAAACTAGTCCAACTTCCTTATATTTATGGAGCGGTCATGGAGTTTCTGTATTTGTTCATCAGAATAAACAAAGGTCAGTCATAAAGAGATCCCGGCGTCACAGCGCACTTTCTGTTCTTAATACCTGACTCCTCGGGCTCCCTGTTCTGCTTGTCCTGAGCGTCTTCGTCAGACCGGACTTTAGCTTTCAAAGCCTTGGTCTTCTGGGCCTCCTGCCACTCTGGAGGAGACAACTTGAACAGAAGCTCCTTGTACTTCTTGTAGTCTATCAGGATGTCTTCAAACTTTGCGAGTTCACTATGAAAAAGAAAGACTAGATTTAAATCACCATGACATAACAAATGTATTCACGCTGATTTATAATTCTTCTTTCACCTACCTTTAACCTTTTGGGTAAACAAACACTTATTTTCAGGGCAAATACAAGTACAAGTAAACTGGGTGTTTGCCAATAGCCTGTAGTGATAGGAGTACTTAATAAACCCAATAACAGCTCTAACAATGGCTTTAAATAACATCTTTTATTTTTAGTTGTTGCTAATGTTGTTCCAAAATCTCCAAACTGGGGTTACGTAACACCACGCTGCCAGAAAGCGGTATTGGAGTAGGTTTATGATTAAATTTACATGAGCACAGTATTGGATCAGATACCCGAAACTGGTACTGAAATCAGTGCATCACTAACTAAAACATGCACACTCATACATGTTAATTATAAAACATTATCAGAGTGCTACCTTTTTATGGTGCCTATTTCAGCAGTCAGTTTTTTGATCTCAGTGTTCTTCTGCTGTTTGGACTGGGCCTCCCGTTCAAAACTGACAACAGAGACAAGACAACCATTTGCAGTGCAGACAAACATCGTATTCACGTCCTCTTGTTAGGACAAAACAAGCCTGTATTCAGTTATAATTTAACAGTTAAACACAAGTTCAAGATCCACCGTTACATTTTCAGTCACAACAAGGAGTCACATCTTGACACTTACAATGTTCTGGCCTCCACAGACTTCTTCTCGTTCTCCCTGAGGAACTCTTCGAACTTGAGGTTGTCTCTCTCGATGATCTTTTCGAGCTTTTTCAGCTGCCCTTCCTCTTTTGCAATGGCCTTGTCCATCCTCAAAATCTCTGACCTCTTCGTCATCAGAGATAACTGAGGGAGGGCAAATGAAGCGAGAGGGTAAAGCCAGACATATACAGGCAGTGGTTAAAAAAAGATACTGATTGAACCAAACAACCACAGTGCAGTGCTTTAAATAATCGTTCCATGTTTGTTTAAAACGCACAAATCCCTCTTTCATAATGTCTTTTTTGATGGTTTGTTGCTTGGGTGGGAACAATTAGGTCTTAACTTCTGTTTCGGATAGCAGAAAGGCGTCATGCTACTTTGTTTCTGAAGTTGTTTTCCTTCCAGTCAGCCAATCAGGTGAATCTAAACAATTTAAATGTGAAAACAGATCTGGATCACTGAAGTCATTTACCTCCAACACTGCCTTCTGCCTTTCCATGGAGATTAGGTCATGTTTGCTGTCTTTCGTAATGTTTTCTGGGGACAGAGGAGAAGACGGACGCCAGTTAACATTCGGATTAACATGTTAGCCACGGAGCAGCTTCACAACTCACCTCGTTTCATCATGGCCATCTTCAGCTCATGTCTGCCGGCTGTTTGTTTAGGGAGAACTGTCCTACTCTTGATTTGTTTTAGATTCTTCATCTTCTCCTTTTCCTCCTCCTCCTCCTCCACAACCAGCTCTTTCTTCATCTTGGCCATCATTCGTGCAGCGTGGGTCGACTTCTCATCAATTGGCAAAGCCAGGAATTTACGCTGCTCCTGTGTATGGAGGAGAACAGCAGCAGGACACTGTGTCACACAAGTATCACGCAGTTTGAATATAAAATAACTTATTTATACATTTATAATTGCACTCAAACACACACCCACCTCTTTTCGGTCCGCTTTTTCATTTATGCTCAGTAGAAAAATGCTGTTACTCTCCGGTACTTTGAATGGGCTCGGTCGAGTCTCCCTTCTCCTCCTCCTCACGTCTACACACAATGTAATAAAGAATATTTCTTTACAATTTGATTGTTTCTACTTTCCATTTCAAAGATCTGTCTCTTTGCCCACTGTACCTGGTTTATGTGATTTGGCAGCACTAGCAGTCTCTGAAACAACAATGCAGCCTGAGGAAATCTCTGCTCCTTCTGTTGAAGACATATTGTTAATACTGGTACAAATTCCTCATCAAATACTGACTGTATTTACACTGCGTCTCCTGTGTGAAGCATGGCATTATAACAGATATTTACCGGGCTGTGGTGACGACATCGCTGAGGTTACTTCTGGCATCTGGCACAGCGTTTCATTCGACTGCAGGTTACAGAAAGAATACCAATGAACAGCTCTTTTTGTGGATGACAAACAGCACGAACACAAATAATTATTTATGTTGGAAAAAGTCAATTCAAGGCAACCTCTAATTTGCATTTTTTTCACCCCTAAAATGTATTTATTATTTTTAAAGGCTCTGCACAACCACACAGGTGTTTTAGGGAGTACTAATAAGAGTCATAAAGGTTGTTAGGAGAGGTCCAATCAGGCAAAAATTAAAACACCTGCAGGGGAGGAACATTGGTGTGTAGAGCTTTACATTTTTTTTTAATTATTATATTATATTTGGACTCTTTAAACTGTCTTGTAGAGGCACCCAATGTCAAACAATGTATGTCAGGTCAAGTAATCTGTCCATTTTGAATCTTGCCATGTTGAACAAACAAACAAACAAAGTCTAGCTGCTGTGCAGGTTAAAATAAAGCAACACTTCTTCAGTTTCTGCGTTAGTAATGAACTCAACGTACCGTCTGATAATGCTGTTCATCAGTTTACATTCACTCTTTAAGCTGCGCTGTTCCGTTTGCGTACCGTTGTCAGGGTAACCGTTGCGTTCAGGGTCCCCTTGTAAAAAAAACAATCTCCTTCAAAGTGGATTTCATTGCTTGTATGCATTATATAGCCTGAAGTACTTGTTACTGTTTATTAAGTCATTATATTATCATTTATTTATTTAAATCTGATATTATTCTATTGGATACACACCATTGCACAGTATTTTTGGTCATCATTTGGTCATTGATTATTTGGTGACTAGAAACATTAAATGATGGAAAAATTTAAAGTCAAACTAAATGAACAGAAGGCTTGTAAGATAACAGTACTTTGCTGGTTTGTTTAGAAGAGTTACAGGAAGGGGTCTTTTTATGGGCCAGTTATATTCATCCTCCACTAGATGGCATAGACAGATCACACAATTTGTTTTAGACGTGTTTTAGTATTTCCTTACTGCCTTCTGAAGGAGAGAGACACAGATTTCAGGACTATAAGAGATCATATTAAAGGACATATAGACATTTCTGTATTTGTAGTGAATAGTGCACCTATACCAGTGATAACATCTTCCTGAGTTGAGTTGACTTGCCTGCCAGCACTTCTTTTAGTTCATTGTGTGAACCAGTGAATATACTTAGAACCTGATACTGTACATTCCCTCCCACGCATCCACACATGACCCTGCACATCTCAGCTCAACAAAGCAGCCCACACATTACACTTGCTTGTAGGAAATCCCAGTGTCAGATTGTCAGGTTAAATGCAAACACATGGGGGAGTGTTGGCTCTCGCAAACAGAAAAGGGCATGTTGTGTGGAGAAAGAGGAGTGATGTGTTATTCAGATTTTAAGAAACAGTTTGATGCTTGTAAGGGGAGGAAAGAAAACCTAAATCAAGCACTGGCACAAAGATTTGCCTTACTTTTCCTAACTTTCTATAAATCTTTGTCAAGTCTATTCTCAAGTTTAATTAAAACAATGTTTCTGAAGCTGGTCCTTTAAAGTACAGTTGTTCTGCATACAGTATCATCCACTGGCTGCTGTAGTTTGAAGATGCTGTAAAGGCAGCTGGTTTCTTGCAAGGTTGCATGGGTTGTTTGAGCATTGCAGATTGCCTCCGCCTCCTCCGCTTTGTAGCCCAAAGACAGTAGATATTTGGTATTATATAAGAGGTGAACATCTATGCATAATGAGATCGACAGCTTTTCTTTATACATAATTAACCCCGCAACCTTCAGTGAACACAAACATCTTAAAAAAGCAAAAAGCACATACCTATATATTACCAGACACAGGGAAAAAAGTCAGAAAAAAAGCGATTTCTTGGGCAACACATTAATTTCCAGTCTGCTAATAATAAATGTGAGATGGACAGGTTCTTAAAAGCTAATTCTCTCCCTCATGTCTTTGCAGTGAGTTTAGGTGGCTGAGTCAAGAAAGCAGCACTGACCTCCTGTCAGGAAACAAACCTTAGAGCAAAGTTGGAGCTGCCACGCTGTCAGGCGGCTGTGAGATGCAGACTGTGCTCAGGTCCATATGACTGTGCTGCAGGGCTCCAAACTGAGACAGCACTTTATATAAAGTGAGGCTATTTTACACGTCTGCTGCAGCTCTTGTTCATTAAACTATATAACTTCCTTCCCAGAATCAATGTGCATAATTCACAAAAGATGAACTGGAGTTTATTAATACTGTATAAGTTATACAGACACAAGAAATATTCCTAAATAATAAACAGAAAGCTTTTCCTTCCTACTGCCAAGGACAGTTTTTAAGAGGAGTTTGGAGGGAATAAGGGAATTGGTTGGTTGAGTTGGGAAGGGGGAACAGATATAGTTAGAGTTTGAGAGCTTCATCCATATATTTGGATCTGGATCAACATCCCCCAGGTCTCTGTGGTGGAGAGCAGGTAGTATGTCTCACTCAGCGACGCCTGAAGTTGTTTGTCTAGGTTTTTGAGATTTTGGGTACAGTGTGAAGGATTTATTGATATCTAGTGGTGTATGTGCAGATCGAAACTCCCTCGTTTCACCCTCCCCTTCGAAGCACAAAGAAGAAACTATGGTGGCTGCAAAACGCGCCCCTATCTACAACGAGTGTTTGGTTTGTCCCTTCTGGGCTACTGTTGCAACATGATAGTTCAACATGGCAGGACTCCATTAAGGACGACCCACAGCATCTGTAGGTAAAAATGGCTCATTCTCAGGTAACAAAAGCATAATGATTCCTATATTCAAATAATTATACACTAATGTAAACATAGTTATGATTATTATATGCAATTTCTCCCAGTAGATCCTCCTAAATGTTACACACTGGACCTTTTAAAGGTATAATTTCAGGTTAAATAAGTGTCTAAGGTCACACTGCAGAGCTCAGTCATCCACTCAGAGTCACTCAGCCATTAAAGTGTAAATATGAGCCTCTGTCCTGTAGTAAATATCAACATGTCAAAATAACAACATATATCCCTCTGCTGTTGAAGCTGTGTGACAACCTGCCATTTCTCCACACAGCCAGCAGAGGCACATCTGCTCCAGTGCTCTCATTGGATTTTATTAGCAATGCAACAACTCTAATAGGTTGTAACAGCCACTTAGAGTACAGGGTCTTACCGGTACTGCACTGGGGATTGTGCTGTCTTTAACTTTGGTCTGGTACCAAAGAACTGCAGCTCAGAGTCGAAGGCATATTCCCCAGCTGGAAGAGTGATTTTATCAATAAAGAAATTGGTTTCTGAAGTTCAAGGAAAGGCTTTTTGACTCACATGTATTCTTGTCAAGTCAGTTATAAATATTTTAAAAATACTGGAGTGCTGCAATTGGCAAAGCCTCAAAATTTAATGAATATGCTCAACTGATTATATTTGGTATTATGATGATCCTTTCCTGCTCCAAAAGACAATCTATTTAATTGAATAAATTATTGCACTGTGAATTGGGAATTTGGAAAGACATTTTCTAAATATAGGACACTCAGAAGCATGTCTAATGCCAGTTTACACTGAATAATTATTTACTGGGAAATGAGTGAATTTTGCAGCTTGACATAAAGCAAAGGAATTGAGACATTATTCAAATCCTCCAAATGTCTGTCTATCAGCAGAGCCAGCTCAGTTTATACTTGTTTTTCATGCAAAGAAGGTCCTATGAAAGGTCTGAGAGTATTACCGTTTTAATTTTCCTGCACTCGTAAAAAAAAAAAACATTTGATGAGGCGTCTTTAAAAAGGACCAACTGTAGTCTAAATTTAAATTAATATGAACAACATTTATTTTTACACACATGCTCAGTGCACTAAACCTGGAAGGGGAAATTAAATTGATGTCTTGCCAAGAAGTTCCTCTCCAGAAAGACCACTGAGGCAGGAATGAAAAGAGGAGAGGACAACACAGTTATAAATGAACAAAATATCTTTAATGGTACTCAGAGCTATCGTAAATATGCATTTTCATGTTTTTCATTAATGTTTTTTAAGCCTCATGGTCACGATTAAAGGTCAGAAATTGAATATAATATACATGTTTTCATTAGTGTATCACCTGAATACAGGAGTCATTATGTTTATCTTACAATGAGACATTTTTAGCTACAGATTTCCAGCTGATTTTAATAGGTTTTAATATTGCTGCACCAAAAATGAAAGTTATGAATGAAACTAGTTAGTGGTGCATGGACAGATAGTAAGAGTTTAATTAATATTTAATCAATATTTTTTCTCTTACCTGTAGTGCCATTCATTCGATTCAATTCAATTTTATTTGTATAATGCCAAATGATAACAGAAGTTATCTCAGGAAACTTTTCAAATAGAGCAGGTGTAGACAGTATAATCTTAGGGATGACAAAGGCATGGTTGCTTTGTAAGTAATGTTATACATCATCCATTGTATTGATAAGTCTGCAAGCATTTGATTTTGTGATGTTGGAAGTTATTTATTACGTGTTTTGAACAATAAGACTTTCAGTTGCTTTGACACAATCAGATTCATTACCTTCATTACTTTTACTGTTAGCATTCAACAGGCGGCTGTTAAAATATATACAGTATATTTAAATAATTCATTAAAAATATCATAAATGTTTGACGAACAGTCGACTATTTGCTTGAACTAACAATTATTAGTAAAATCTTTAGAAGTGAACCTAATATAAAGTGAGAATATGTCAGGGTTGTGTGTCTGATGAGTCCTTATGCCCCCTAGTGGCTAAATCAATTACTGTATGTCATTTTCAAAACGAACCACCTCATTTTCTATGTGCTATAGGACATTTTTCCAGACATAGACATAGGTAAAAGCTTTCATAAACTTGGCTGTGGGTTGAATCACTATTGAGTTATATTCAGAAGAGTCACAGTTTATCTCTTTAACATGCAGCTGAAGAGGCCTGGCGTACAAATATCACACCTTCAACTTATTTAAGTCTATCTGTATTTATTGTTATTTATCGTTAGTCCTTTAAACCCTAATGAATTAATACTTTCTTGTTTCCATTTGTAAATTTAGGTACTTGTGAAAGATGTGTCTGTGAGAATGTACAACTGAATATTTGGGGCGTATGGCGTCCATGCTCGTCAGCTTTGATCCCAGCAGAATTAATCCTCATATAATTAAAAACTCGTTAGCAGACAGATGCCTGGTCTTGTCGGGAGAAAATACTCTCTGTATTTGGATACTCTGGTGACAATTTGGCAGCAAAAGGACATCTTAAAGGGAAAATATGTAACTGGTGGGATTAAATAGACATCTACTTGTCTTCTTGAGGCACATTTAAAGGTATTTCATCACGTGACCTACAGTATGTTGGTCGTTGTATTGGCATCTTGAGTTTACCATAGGAAATACTTTAAATAGAAATGTTTTATACATTGATTGTACCCCAGGAAAGTTAATTGCCATTGAGACTGAGAATTATGGGATCCACCTCTTTGACTAAACCACTAATGACGAAGGATAATGAGTTCTTTCACCTTGGCCCACAAATTTACTTCATTTAAACCCAGTAATGGTGACAAATCTG